ACATTGGTGAATGCCACAAATTCTCCTAAATCACTCGTACGCACAACTTAAGAACAAATCTGTACGTACGAACGGTTCTTGCATGAGGCCCAATGTTCCTAAACTGTTGAACTATTTGCTCACGCAGTTGTTCACAAAGTGGTGAACCTCACTCCATCCTTGCTTGTGAATGACCGAGCCTTTTAGGGATGCTCTCTTATCCGTTTGAACATTAAATATTTATTTATTTTTTATTTATTTTCCGTTATTTTACCAGGCAAGTCCCATTGAGATCTCAGATCTCTTTTTCAAGGGCGGCCCGGGCCTGAAGGCAACCTATTGTACATATTTTGGAGGGTTGGGGAAACCGTAGTACCCCAAAAAAAAACCCTCGCAAGCAGAGGAGAACATACAAACTCCGCACAGAAAAACCCCAAGTCCGAACCGGGGATCGAACCCAAATATCTTGTCTTTGTTGTGTATCCACTTGAATAAAGGTTGAAAAGGATTTACGAATCATAATATTCTGTTTTTATTTATGTTTTACACAACTTCATTGGTTGTAGATATTGAGCTAAAATCTATTGTAGTAGCTGAGAGTCATTCTTAACATTGTGCTATATCTTTGCTCAAAATGTACCTTTTTACATTAAATGTAAGCATATATTCTGTCTGTTTATAAAATATGATCCACCAGAGAGGGTAATCAAACTTAGTTAACACAAACATAGCTGCCAATTTAACAAATATGTAATTATGTTTTATTGGAATTGGTTTCAAAAGATGAAATGATAAAGTACCCATTTTATTTTTGAATTAAGTTATTGGGTTAGTTCTTTTTATTCTTGTTCTTTTGAATATGATTGTTCAGCTTTTACTTTATAATTCCATGTCATGGCACTGATCACATATTCCATATTTTGTGTATTTTAAAGAAACCGCTAAAGATTTCATTGGTGAGACACTAAACTGTAAAAGCTTCACTCAGACATTTAAAAGGACTAAAATGTTTCCTTTGGGCTTTAAACAACAGCTGTTCTGTCGATTTATCAGTGGGATTTTTATTTATATATTTTTTCTGATTCATGTCAGACTGTATCCTCAGTGATCAACGCTTCAGATTTACATTTTTTTCTCTCTCTCAGCCTCAGTCAGGGTTTTTAACTTTGAAGCCTGCAGTGATTTTCGGATGAGCAGAGCAACAAATTCTTTGGGAAAAAAAAAACAAATCAAATGTTGTGTGAATTATCTGCATCTCTGTATCAATCTTCTATTACTTAAAAATAGGCCAGTGAACAGTGGAGCGGTGCTTTTCCACAGATATTTATGGGGCCAATATGACACGGGTGATGTGGCTGAGTTTTGAGGTCATATAAGTGATAAAAGAGGAAAGGGAGCAGTTCTGCCTCTCTGAGTGTGTCTGTGGTGATCAGACTGATAAACACAACACAAAGTAAGATATAGTTGTGTTATTAAGGGCTTGAGTTCATCTTGGGAGCTTTGTTGGGAGCTGTTTGATGATCCCATCGTC